GGGTCCCTGGAGGAGAGCAGTGACGGTCAACATGTCAGCAGCAGCCATCTTCGTGGTGCCCTGGGTTGACCTGGGTTCAGGAGAAGACCCTGACATTAATCTGGGCGGAAGTACCCTAGCCCTTCCAAAAGGACAGAAAGGGGTTTTTTGTTTGTTTGTTTTGCATCTTTCATCCTATGTGGCTCGCAGAACATTAAATCCAGGAGTGCTTTATGAAGTAGGGTGCATCGTGCCTGCGACTTAGGAGGAGAAAGGGTGGTGTGGAAATGTGCGAACTGTTAGCGAGGGTCTCAGCTAGGTTTCCTTTCGACCTCAGGCGGCAGCTCCCCTCCCCAGCTCGCTCCCCAGCCAGGACCCTCAGCTGTCCCCTAAGGCCCCCTGCGACAGCTGAAGGGTGTGCGGGGAGGGGACTGGGGGTCCGGGCGGCGCTGGTCACACCCTCCTCGTTCGCACTCAGCGCCCCCACTCCCCGCCCCTCCCCCCAGAGGCTCGGCACTATTTTGGGTGGTGTAGACCCCGCCCCCACCTCCGACCGAGCCCTGGCTCTCTGGGCAGCTGGAGGGGTCCCGCTGCGCCTCTTGGGGCTGCACCTCCGGCCAGGACCGCAGCCGCGTCTGCAGCCATGTCGGGCCGCTCGGTGCCACATGCCCACCCGGCCACCACCGAGTACGAATTCGCCAACCCGAGCCGCCTGGGTGAGCAGCGCTTCGGAGAAGGTACGGCGCAGACGCCACCCCCTTGCCTCTCCCCCCACCTCCTGAAATTCTGGGCTGACCTCCCAACATTTCTGGCGTCCACCCCACTTCGGGCTTAACTGATATCCTGGGGCGAGCCATCCCCCACCCAAGAGTCCCCCTCAACCCCTCCAAGCAGGGCTCGTTCCCCTTCCTACTGACCTCAGGGCAGACTCGGTGCCTGCAGCGCTCTGACACCTGCCGCTTGCCTGCCCTGGTGTGGTTCCCCTTCTATCAGTCCGGTCGCAATTTGGTTTGCCTTTTGCCTCGACCATCTCTTTTCCTTTCTCAGTCCCCTTCCCAGCCGCATTCTCCTCCTCCTAGCCGTGTCCTCCTCCCCGCTTCCCTGCTTCTTCCCAATGTCCCGATCGCCTCTCCTTCCACACCCGGGCCCACCTCGTCCTCCCTCATCCTGCCTCTTGCCTTCTCTCTGCCCCTCAGGCCTCCTGCCAGAAGAGATCCTGACCCCCACTCTCTACCATGGCTACTATGTCCGGCCTCGGGCCGCCCGAGCTGGGGAGGGCAGCAGGGCAGGGGCCTCTGAGCTTAGGCTCAGTGAGGGCAAGTTCCAGGCATTTCTGGATGTGAGCCACTTTACCCCTGATGAGGTGACCGTGAGGACTGTGGACAACCTGCTGGAGGTGTCCGCCCGACACCCCCAGCGCCTGGACCGCCATGGCTTCGTGTCCCGAGAGTTCTGCCGCACCTATGTCCTGCCTGCTGATGTCGACCCCTGGCGAGTCCGAGCTGCCCTCTCCCACGATGGCATCCTTAACCTGGAGGCGCCTCGGGGTGGCCGACATTTGGACACAGAGGTCAATGAGGTCTACATCTCCCTGCTCCCTGCACCTCCTGATCCAGAGGAAGAAGAGGAGGCAGCTGGAGTTGAGCCTTGATGGCCACAGACCCAGCACCCAGCAAATCCCTTTCTACCTCCCACGTTGATATCAGCAGCTGCCCACCACTCCAGAGGTAGCAGCATATTTAGGGGAAGGGAAGGGCGCATGGTCCATAATGTATGGTTTGGTCCCAAGGGACATGTCGTAGCCTTTGGTTTAGTTTTGGGTGGAGCTGAATAAACCCAAATCTCAGGGTCTTGTTTGTGCTGCTCGCTGTTCTGTGGCTGGGAGGATGGGACGGGCAGGGAGGGAGGAGGTCATAGCCAGCTAGACAGAAAGCTCCTCAGCTAGATGTGCACAACGTCACAGCACCCTGAGCTCGCACTTGGATGCTGAGATCACACCCGGAAGCTGACGCTGGCTCCTGATCAAATTCCTAGCCATAATTTTCTCACAATGCAACAAAAGAGAGGGTGATCCTGGGAGGGAAAAGGGATATGCCATCCAAACAGCCCAGAGGGCACTGTCTGAGCTGGTGATTAGAGACACAAAAACAAGGGTCTCCAGACTGTCTGGCCCTTTTTGGGTAGGGGTTGGGAAAATGGTTTTTGGCTGGAGAGAGGTGCCTAAAGCCCTGGAGTGAATACTTTGTTTTCTCATACTAAGGCCTGTCCACTGAAATGGTCACTGATTTTGAGGGACTGAGTATGCATACACAAGGGCACAGACACAGAAGCCACGGCCATTATCACTGAACCCCATTACCTCCCATCCTGTGGGGGTGTGATGTATTCAGGAAAGCCTGAGAGTCTGTCCCCTCAATTACTATCTGCAATCAAGACAACATGCATGTGTATGATTTGGGGAGCGTCCAGAAGACCTTTCTGCCCCAAAATATATTTTTTACAAGGCTGTGGTGGACATCTAAAATTCATACATTAAAGTGGTTGTTTCTTAACTTTGGTAGGGTTACAGACCCATCAGAAAATCCAACAAAAGCGATAGATGCTCAACAGAAAAACACACATGCTCCCAAATTTGGCAATACAATTTGAATAGGTTCCCATAAATGAGATGCATTCATATACCGCTTTTAGGGATCTGTGGACACCCAGGATAATAACCCTCACTTGAGGAATTCTATCTTTGGTTAAAAGATTGCCATCTATTAAAAATTAAAGCATACCTCAAAGAAATAACTATTGATATATTCAAGTGTTCATTCATTCAATAAATATGTATCAAACCCCAAGCAATATGCCATGGTGGATATACACTGGAAACATAAATTATAAAAACTACGGGTTTTTGTATTGTCTACTTTCAGAAATCTTAACATTTAGTTGAGAAGAAAAAATAATAAAACGATTCTATTCAAAATAAAACGATTCTCTACACTTCAACCGAAACAGCTTCACATTGATCTGTTTTGTAACTGAGCCTTATTTAAAAGAAGGATTTCTTAGCTAGAAAAAATTTGAGAACCTCTGATTTAGTCCAAATCCCCACCCCATTAAAATTTTTTTAAAGTTATTATGAACCTTCTTCTGGGGCATTTTGAATGACAGAGAACTTAGAATTTTGTAAAGTAGCCCACTCCATTTTCTTTTTGGTCATAACTGTTATAAATTCTTCCTTTTGTTGAACCAAAATCCGCATTTCAGTAAGTTCTGCCCATTGGTTCGGGTTATGTCCAGAAAATAAATGCAATCTTCCTTTCACTTAAAAGTCCTTCAGATATTTAAAGATAATCATCCTGTCTTCCTAAAGCTTCCCTTTCCCAGCTAAACATGCCTAGTTCTTTTGACCACATCTTATACTTTTCACTTCACTTATTATCCAGATAACTTTCTTTCGAACACACTGCCTTTTGGCAATGTAACTTGAAATTCATCATCTAGACCTAAAATTATTATTCTAGTCATGGACTGACTAGTACAGACTTCAATGGAATAATCAATACTCTTGTTTATCATTCTAGACATCTATTAATACTATTTAAGGGTTACCACAATGTACTATTGGTTTCTTTGGAGTTTCTGGTCATCCAAGAATCTTTTAGGTGCTTTTTAAAAAAATTACAAACGATGTGGCTAAAAAAGGGGCCAGATTGTGGAGGGCTTTGGGTGCCACACTGAGAAATTTGAACTCTATCCTACAGATCACAAGAAGAAATCATTAATAGCTTTTGAGCTGGGTCGGGAGGGGTGGGTAACAGGACGAAAAGGAAGCAGTTAATGGTAGAGTACAGAATGGTTTGCAGGGGAGAAGCATGGCCCTGAAATAAAGCCATGATAGGGGCACAAGATAAAACAAGATGCTTTGTGCCATCTGATAATTACCTCAGAACAGAAATAATAATAGTAATAACAATAGCTAAGACTTACCGAGAGCTTTCCATGTGCCAGGCCCTGGACCAGAGCTTTACATACATATATGTCATTTAATCTTCACCATAATTTTGCAAAGTTGTCCTTCTTATCCCCATTTTCCACAAGAAGATGGGGAGGAATTCAAAGTTCAGGGTACTCTGGAGTGCAGAGCTGAGTGGTGGGCCCCACACATGCATCAGGAACACACAAATAACCAAGCATCAGAGGAAGACACTAAAGATGGGATGAGAGAACTGAAGACAAGAATTATGCATTTCATAAATTCTCCTAGGGCCCATATTTGCTACGGATGAATATGCTCAGCTGCATCCTACTTGCTGGTGAGTGTGGAGTGAGTCTAACTTTGGGTCATTGGAAGAAGAAGCTGAGTTGAGGGGTAAGTGGAGATTCTGTAGTTCTGCACTGGGGATGGGGAAGTGAATGGCTAAGTGCTGAGGCCATTCCAATCATAGAATCATCTGATTTTATACCAGAAAGGGAATTAGATATTTTGTTCAGTTCTTCCATTTCACAGTCCTAGAAACTTAGGCAGTAAAAGGTTAAGTGATTTGCCCACATTAATTTCAAAAGGCAAGGGAGAATATGCATGGAATCCATTTCCCTAAATTTAAGGTTCTAAGAGATTCCAGTAACCAAACCCAGATTCTGGACAGGGATAATAAGAAATTGGTACCAATTACCTTGAAAATGAAACTCAATTAAACCTGCGTGGTGCTGGGCAAACATAAGGTAAGATGTTCGTCCATTATAGAGGATATATTTCAAAGACAGCGTGATGTAGTGGAGAAACATTTCCTAAAGAAACCCAGAGCCCTTTTCTATCTCAGGTTTCTTTTTATTGAAGTTTGAAACTCAAGTTCATGGCTTCATCAAAAGAAGCTTCAAATCCCGTAGGTGAGATAGCTCTCACCTGGAATCCCTAGGTATTGTTCTACCCTTAGGCTGGCAATAGTCACCTGGGAATCATTCCAGCAGGTGGCTTCCAAAGTCCAACCTGCTAGGTTGAAATCCGACACTCACAGAGGCTCCCGGGAGCTGCCACAGAAAGCTAAACCGGGAACCAGGAAATGCACAAGCCTGTTGGTGTAGAAAAACAGCTGGGCTCCCTCGGAGACAGAGCGCCATGGGAAACGGGTTCTGCTGTGGAGGAAACTGGTGAGTAGGGCTTAAGGGCAGAGGGTAACATCTCTGTTGGTGACTGTGGGGGCACTGAGAATCGGGAGCCTGGAAATAGTTGTCTGCCAGCCTCCCACTGCCACCTGCCTTGGCCTGGTTCCTTCTGGTTCCCACACCAGAGCAGCACCTCCCGCCGTGCTTGCTCCTTTCAGGAGACATAAGAAAACAGAGCCAAGCCAGTTGTCTGTAGAATGGCCAGGGCAGGGCTGGAATGGTGAATTGGCATTGTTTCTCTTTGTCCTTCTCTTCTTTCCCTTCCCCAGATGATGATAATAATTGTAGCATTTGAGAGTTTTCTATGTGCCAGACACTTCGCAATCTCATTTAATTTCCGCAACACTTCTGTAAGATAAGTGGTCTTCCCCCTCCTCCCATTTTACAGCCAGCTGAGAAGCTGAGGATCAGAGAAGTTAACTAATTTGCCCAAGGACACAGGCTAGTAAACAAGAAAACCAAGATTCCAACCCAGGCCTGCCTGACTTCAGAGCCCACACTTCTAACCACTATGTAATAATACTGCCTCGCAGACTGAGCAAATCAACTTGGGAGAAATGTTTATTTAAAAAGGCAGAAATAGGAAGGAGAATATCCATGAACTATCTGAATATAACTTTCACACTTATTTGCTATGTGACCTTAGGCAAGTCCCTTAATATCTCTGTATTTTCCCATGTAAAAATAAAGATAATATACCCCCATTGTTTAGATCATAGGTTTGTTTTGAAGAGCAAAGGATATACTATATGTGAAAAACTCATAATAAATCATCTGTGGTATTGTTACTGTTCTTTCCCAGAGTTTTCTTCACTGCCATAAACTCCTGGACCTGGCTTTGTCTTGTCTACTGCCTTCTTAGCTGCATCATTCCATGCCTGGGTCAGATCTTGGGGACGTCTTATTTATATATAAATAAAACATTGTTATATTTAGAGAGACAAGTGGGGTACATTGGAAAGCACATAGGTTTTGGAGTCAGTACATTGGATTCAAGCTCTATCCCTACTACTAATTCATTTATCCATTCATTTCTTAAACAGGTATTTATTGAACATATACTATGTACCAGGCACAGTGATAGACACAGAAGACATAGTAATAAAGGGAAATTTGGTCCCTGCCTTCTTGAGTAAGATACCAAAGTTCTATGGCCTTACTAGAATCCATATGTAAAATGAGAACAAAAATATGTGTTTCCCAGAATGTTGTCAGGATTGAAAAAACAAATAAAGCACCCTTTAAACTTTGAGATGTCCTACAGACATAGGACATCTAGAAAAGCTTATAAAGAAGGGGATGTAACAGCTTCTTCCACTCCCTTTTGTCCCAAGTGTTTGTATTCTTTCTTCATTACTGGTCAATTCTCTGATAGTGATAGTCATTGCGGTCAGCTTTTACTAATGCTCATTATATGCTAGGAGCCATGCTAAATATCTTACATTTACTATTGTTTTTAATCCTTACAATAATCCAATGATTACTGATTAAAACCATGAGATTTGGATTCTATTATCATCCTCATCTTATTAATAAGAAAACAGAGCACAGAGAGGTTAAAAACTTGGTGAAGTCTTCACAGCTAGTCTGACATCATCAATCTCACTCTGGAGCCCATTCTAGAGACACTATGCCAGACATTCTAACCAAAATCTATTTTGTCCTCTTAAAAAATATGAATAAGACTGGATAAAATTGTTCTCCTCTATTTTTTGTTATCTAAATAAATCTTCAGAGACTTAAAGATACTATGACCATTGAAGAGATTTTTATTTTAAAATATTCTTTGTAGTTGTTTTCTCTGGTTACAAAAGTAATAAATATTCACTGTAGAAAATTTGGAAAATACCAAAGGACAAAAAATAAGAACCATAAATGTAAGCATCCAGAAGTGACAGGAAGATTTTAGTGTATTTCCGTATCTTTTTCAAATGTGCACAGTTTTTATCCCAAAACATATCTTATTATGTTTTTACTAACTTAATAAAGAGTAAATTTTTCCATGCTGTTAGGTAGTCTTCCAATATCCTTTATTAAATGGCTACATAGTTTTCCATTAACTGGATATGTAATTTATTTAGTCGGTTACCAAATGTTGGACATTCAGGATATTTCCTATTTTTTGCAATAATAAATAATGCTACAGTGAATATTCATATTTGTACATGTATAATTATTTCTTAGGATATGGAATTGCTACATCAGAGGATATATGTATTTATGTTTAGGGCTTTTTATACTTATTGCCAACTGCATTCTAGAAGGATTACACAAATTTTTATTTCTACTACCACTGTAGGAGAGTGCCCATTTAGTTTCCTTAATTATGATCTAAAAATAAAATCCCATCACTTATAAATCTAACTGAATATTCCATTTGGTTATGTCCAGGCATTGTACAATATCCAACTAGGGAACAGGCTCTGTTCACTAACATTGGATGGCCCTAGTCTATGTATTTTAGAATTAATATTTTCTCTATCCCTTTAAATAGAAATAAGTAGGAAAACAGTAGTGACAAGGGGCAAGGAATTAGAAGATTCTGTAGTTCCTATAATAGGATAAGGCTGAGCAATGGTAACATAAAGCAAGGGCTAAAGTAGCAGAAAAGCAAGATCTGAACTGGAAGGGGAGGAAGTAGAAAAACAGTAGTTTTTCTTCTGAACTACCTATTGAGTTTGGGTGGAGTCTCAACTGCTCTCAATTCAGCAAGCTGCATCAAAACCAAAAATCACTCCAAAACACAAACCTTTGTCAAATGTGTATGAAAAATTTTGATTTTTTCCCCACAGTAATACAGTCAACATAATTTAGAACTCAGTTTCTCTTTCTCTTTCTTTCTTTAATAAGCAAAAGAAGGAAACTTCCCCAGGGAAATGAGAAGTCAAACAGACGAATAGGGTTGGCTCTGGTAAGAGTTGGAAATATCCTCGCAAGAAAAAGCATCTGGAGTAAGCCCCAAACTATTCAGCTTATTTCCTCAGACAAGTGTTGTTTCCCTGGGCATCAAACTGATGACAATCACGTAGACACACAGGCTCCATCGGGGACCCCGGGGGCTCAGAAATGAATATATAAGGTATGTCCTGCAGTGTGGGCAGGATAGCTGAGTCACTCACCAAATTCAGCACTCTGTGCTCTGCAAAGTTCTCCAAAGGATGTTAAAGGTTAAACATCTCTCACTCTCCCTTTTAATTAAAAACAAGGACAAGGAAACAGGGCGAGAGGTCACTTGTTAGGAAAGGGCTTTGAGGGGCCCTAACTAGTTAGCCTTGATTGTGGCAGCTTCTGTGACTCTCAGAATGAAAGTCCCAAGTTGGCAACGACCCCAAAAAAAAAAAAAAAAACACCGAAGAAGCAGCAAGAGGGTCTCTGGATCCAGGAATATCCCATTATTTGGCAGGTTTCCCTTACCCTCTGCTGGGATTAGCATGTTAGACAATCTCAGAATAGCCCCAAGCCAGCTATATCCCTGGCATGTAGTCCTGGTTGCCTGAGGCTGTATTTTGGGTTTGGTTATGTCAGTTGTACCACTCCACCTTCCAGAACCATCCATTTGGGAGAGGTGTGGTATCCTTGACAAATGGTTTGGGGCTGAACCTGGTTTAGGGTGAATCTTTGTTAGAGGGAGGTGGAGGAGGGTCATCCCAGGATGTTAAGAAGACCACAGAGCAGGTGATGAAGCAGGGAAGATAGAGGCCAGGGCTCTTGCACGTGAATGATCTGTTTTTTCTATCACAGGAGCTGCCCATCAACTTTCCAGAAGAAAAAGAAAACAGGTAACTTTTGCCGGGAGGGACTCTGGGGGAGGCAAATTAGAGAAGAGAAGACAATAGAACTGGCATCTTTGGAAAGGGCAGAAGAATAGAGTAGAGGAGCGGACTTGGAAGGGATAAGTTCAGAACTGGTGTTGAACCCAGTAGCCTAAGCATTCTGTTTGGTGTGCTGTCTCCTTTGCAATATCATCTACTGGTTCTATAATAGATGCACACTCATGCTGTGGGAGAATGAAAGAAGACACTGATATCAAAGCAAATTCACAAGTCAGCAGAGGAGGGAGGGAATGGTGTTTTTAGGCAGAGGAATCAGCTCAGGCAAAAAAAAAAGAGAGAGGGAAAGAGAAAAGATACTGACTTGACTCAAAGTGGCCTGTTGGTGTGGCTGAGCACTTCCACCTCGCATTGTAATAGTCTGTTTACTTATTTCTCTGCCCTAGTAGGCTGTAAGCTCCCCGAAGCAGAGGAAACAGCCTGCTTATCTTTCTACCCGCAGAACATGGCACAGAGGCTGGCATATAATGGCTATCAACATATGTTGGTTGAACTATGTCAGGGGCAAGTGAAAAATGCAGATAGAAGATATTACGGCCAGACAGTGAAAGGGCCAAGTTGTATACCCTGCTTAGGAGTTTGGATGCAGGAATAGAAGTGAGAATGGAGGCAGGGAGATTAGTTGGAAGCCTGCCATAATAGTTTAACAGTGATTTGAAGAGGGTAATCTCAGTAGAGACGGGGAAGAGAGAATGGATTTAAGTTGGATTTCTTCCCCTCAGGGAGCCAAGGAAAATGGACATTGAAGCCACAGCAGCAACAGCTGCAGCAGAATGGTACAAAGGTAATGACAGGCCTCTGTCTCTTCTCTGGGGCTGCTCAGACATGGAACCCATATTCAGCTTTTTGCCCTAGAACAGACACCTGTCACTCATCTGTAGAATTTGCTGGTTCTGCCCATCCTCCTCTACCCCCTAAAGAAGCAAAGTGAGGGAACATCAGTCTAACTAGCCTTGCATTGGAGGTGAGGGGCAAAACCCAGCCACGAATCTCCCTTAATGCTGTCCATTCCTCACAGGGCCATGAAACCACACAACATACGTATGAGCGAGTGTTACAGCAGCACAAGTCAAAAGAGAGGAGTCAAGGCCTCCCGTTGGAGGAGAGCAGCTTACATTACGCAGACATTCAACTGTGCACCCGTAACCAGCCATGGTCTGCCCATGGAGTGAAACACCTGCATTTAGAAAACGCTACAGAGTATGCGACCCTTCGATTCCCCCAGGCCACACCTCGCTATGACAGCAAGAACGGGACCCTGGTGTGACCCTTGGGGAGGAGGGACCAGCCCATCATTTACCACGACTCCTGTGGGGAGAATCTACTGCTTTGGGGAATTGGGTGGCACCCAGGGATATTGGCCATATTTTATATAAGTTTAAAAAACTCCGGAGCCCCTGGAATTGTGGGTGTCCCCAGTCTTTCCCTTAGGCTTCTTATTTGCCACCGTTAGCTTGGAGCTGTAGCTGGGTTAGCTATGGGAGGATGGAATTTCACAAAATGAGGTTAGCTCAAGTGTGCAGGGAGGTAGGTCTTTAACCCCACCATTGCTCCTGCTCTTTAGGAAAGTGCAGAAAGAACTGGTTACCCTATAAGCACGTGGGCTGATCTTGCCGGACTTTATTTAATGGTATCCCTTCTACACACCTTAATCCTCAATGCTGAAGGGGAGGTGCTCTGGAAAAGCATTGTGAGCTTTTGCACACAGCCCCCAGGGATGGCTTGGGCAATTTCCTCAGCGGCTGGCTGGGTCAAGCGTTCCAGACCTAAACAGACAAATGCCTCAGGGACTGAGGCATGGAGGAAACTGTTCTCCAACCATTGGCTACAAGGACTTCCAGTCACTGGTCACTGATACAGCACAGTGAGGCCTGAAAACTTCCCTCGGGGAAACTGTTGGTTCTCGAGGGTGCGGGCCCGCTAGGATCAATAAATTGCTTGAGGAACATGCCTGGTCTGTTTTCTGGGGCGGGGGCCTCAGCTGTACGTAACTGCAGCGGGTCCTGTCCAGCCTAAGGGCGGTTCGAAAGCCCAGCCAGCAGAGAAGCCTTCCGACCTCACCGCACAGAGGTGGTTCCGGCCCGGTTCCCAATGGCAGAAGGCGGAGCTACCCGGGCGGGGTCTGGACCAGCGTGGAGAGGCCTGGGATGCAGGGGCGGGGTCAATGATGGAAGGGGGTGTGGTCTGGGCGGTTAGGAGGCGGGTCTGGAACGGCAGGGGCGGGGTCTGGGTTGGAAGGAGGCAGACCGCGGAAGGCAGGGGGCGAGGTCAAGGCCGGCGAGGGCCGGCTGGAGGCGGGCTGGGCCCAGGGTCGGCCTCCTCATCACCATGGCAGCGGGAATGCAGCCGCAACGCGGGCGCAGTGGCAGGCCGAGCCCAGAAGGGCTGGGGACAGAGATGCCGAACCAGACCGACCGATAATAAAAGAGGTAGGTGCTGAAAAGTGATGGGTAACTGGAAAATATTATTACCACCGGTTGAGTATCCAGATCGGAACTGGGGACATGCAGAGGGGGCGAGGATGGGGTGGGAAGAAGGAGGCTAAAGTTTCAGGGTCCAAACCCTTTCTGAGCCTTGTAGATTAGTGTGCAGTTTCCACTTCAGACTTCCAGAGCTTGGAGAGGAGGGGTAACGCGCTTCCCTTTCTCAACCTGTACCCTATCCTCCCCAAATGCCGCTGCCTCTCGGTTGGTCCCTAAAAGGGATGATTCCCCGAAGATGGGTAGAGTACTGAAAATGGAAACGTAGAACAACAACAAAAAATTGTCAATAATAGTATCAGCCTCATAGAGTGTTTGTGAGAATTTAAAGCACCTGGAACAGTACATAGTTTGTAGTCAAATGTTGGCTGCCACCATCATCATCAACATTTTTACAATTTTCCAGGCCTGTTCTCTGGCACAGGCCTACTGCAAATGGATTCAGAAGTGGGTTAGGGAGGACCGCCTCCACCTCTAATTGGCGGAGCAACTTCCTAACCTATTCTCTCTGTATTACTGAGGGTAAGAAAATTAACTCTATTTCAAGAATTATTTACTGTGAGGGTCAAATAAGATGATGTAAATGATAGCACTTTGTAAAATGCAAGTGCAATATACAAATTTCTGTCTTAGAATTATAAATACTGTCTTTCTGGGTTAAAACTGAATTCCCGTGGATAGAGGGAAGTAAGTGTCAGAAGCAGAGCTCCTGGTATTTCTCCTGATTGTCTTCACAATACTTTTTGTGGTCCTTGACTGATGAGCATAGGGGAGAGGGAAAATGCATCCTTGCTTGACTAAGGATAGGGAAGCATTGCTCTTTACTTTATTACTATTAAAACCTAAGTGACTGGGTTTTTAAATGCCATTAGGATAACCCTGTTGTGCTTATATTCTTGGGCTGAATTTCCTGCTAACCAGGGTCCGATTTCTGATACAAGATTACTTAAGTTGGTAGGTTTGGGAGTGGGGCCTGACCCCAGCTAGGTTGGTTTAGCTTTCAGAATTTTTTTTTCTGTCCTGTAAATTTTGCACATTTCTTATTCTTCCTGTTTTAAGGTGGCCCTGGTTTGGCTCTTCTAGGGACTGTGAAGATGGGAACCCAAGTGGTTATGAGATTCTGTAACTCCTTGCTGCCAACAGAGCCCTCTGTAAGTTTCTGGTGTGTTGTTGAGAGAAGTATGATGACATTACTGGAATTTCAGTACAGTTCTGCATCTGAGGGATTTCTCCGTGAGGACTCAGATCCTGGAACAGAATTTTAATATATTTGCCTTCTTCTTTGGCTTCTCCTTTTTGTGGAAATTCTAGCTCACTTGGACATCGATTCATCATCTTTTTCTGGAATTAATAAAATCAGGCAGAGGTTGAAAAATTCTAGCAATTAATTAGAGCATATGCACTGTTTATAAGAGTTAAAGTTTGTTATAGAAAAATGTATGTTAATTACATAGCATTTGAGAAATATTGCAAACTATGATTAAAAAAACCCACAGTTCTCCTGCCCAGAAGCAACCACTGTTAATATTAATATTTTGGAATATATCCTTGTGGTCTTTTTTTCTATGTACATTTTTTATGTGAGATCATATTATGTGTGTATTTTTTGACTTTGTTTTTTTCACTTAACATTTGTTAATATGAAATTGTTAAACTGTTTATTTTAATGTTGGTACACATGTTTGGTAAACATTATAATGGCTGTAATTGTCTTAACCTCTGTTGCTAGACTTTTAGCTTCCCCTGCCTCTTCCCCCCACATTGTATATAATTAACTTATTTCCTCATTTCAGACTACATCAAAGAATGTGAACATTTTAAGTAATAAGTTACCTCGTAAAAGACTGATCATGGTGTCAGATTTTGTATACATCCTTCAGAAGGCAGCTGGACATCAGTTGGGAAACAGAAAGGTCCTTAGTAGAAATATGACTACCTCTTGCAATGATAACATGGGTCCTGCAGAAATTTAATTTCCTGATAGAACCCTTAGTAATATGGAGCTCTAACACATTATGATTGGCAGTCCAGAAGCAGGGAGGCGTTTTCGTAGTAGAGAAACTCAAGGATCACTTCAAAAATGTCCACCAGATGTCGCTAGTCTTAATCGAATTTTCACCCACAGAGTAGCTGGCAGATAACTTTTGAAATGTGAATTTAAAAAATTCACGTAGACTATATTTGCATATCTGCTTTGGTACGGTTTATATTAAGCACTTGCATCTGGTGATTACTTTGGCAACATCCTACTCTAGTCTCTCACCATTCTTTTTTTCCCTTCTTCTACCCACTCAGTCTGTCATACCCTGTACACTCTGTCCTCACGTAGTAATATTCGATTTTGTTTTGCTAGTCTTCCTTTTACTCTTTTTTCCTCCGGTATTATTTCTTGCCTGTGTGTGTTGTGTGTATATTTATGTATAACTGTCAGTTCTTCAAGTTTTTGCTAAAAAAATAGGACTTGGCATATAAGGATATATAATGTCAACATATATTTAATGAATGTTTAATGAAAGAATGCATGAATGGAGAGGAAAATACAAAAGCATACTAAAAATTATTCATATTTTTCTTGAGAATACAGTAAAAGAGACAAAGATTCACATTCCTAAATTACCTATAATTAAGTGCTAAATGATACAGTATAGAATATGCTAGACCTTTGAATTTTAAAGATAGAAAGATTCATTCATGCATTCAGCCAGTATTTATTGAGAACCTACTTTGTGCCAGGTAATATTCTTGGTTCTGGGGATAAACCAGTAACAAAACACAAAATTCCCTGCCCTCACGGAACTTACATTCTGGGCAGGGGAAAGCTGATGATAAATAAATAAACAAGTAAATATAGAATATACAAGATGATGATGAATGCTATGAAGAAAACTAAAAATAAATTAGGCAAAGAGGTCTGGGAGTGCTGGTGTGAGGGGATGAACATCTGAGTGCTGAGAGAAGGCCATACGTATAAGGTGACATTTGAGCAGGGACCTGAAGGAGAAGTAGGAAATGAGCCATGGGTTATTTGGGAGATGAGTGTTTCGGACAGATCAAAATCAACAGGGGTCAGGGGAGTTTCACAGAGCAGGTGGAACTTGAACTAGGCATAGTAACGATTCGGGTAGCAGAAGGTTGGAGTGTAGGGCATTCTAGGCAGAGGGACAGTGATAATGGCATGGAGGTGAAAGTGAGCCTTGCAAATCTGTGAGAAGTGAGGAGCTCTCTAACCTGAACAGAAGTGATCTGGGAGGAGGTCATAAGAGCTGGACTCAAGGTCTTTATATCCGACATGCTAGGATAAGGGAATGTTTGAAGGAGTTTGAGCACTACAGCAGCAAGCTGAATGTATTGACTAAGGAAGATTAAGATGAGTACAGATTGGCAGGTGGAAAAGTC